CCAAAGACACCACATCTGCGGTTTTCACTAAATTTCCAATTTCCGCATCTGCGTTTAGAATTTTGCACCTACGCTACCGCAGGTGCGTCCCCCTTCACCACTTCTGCGATCCCTGATGATTTTCTCCATGGCCGCATCTGTGGCTGCCTTTCACTTCTGGGGGCATCGCACTTGCGGCCTCCCAACCGTAGGTGCGGTTATGACAGTAACAAAATGCTTCAGCTGCCCCAACTCAACTTCAAACTTTCCGCCAACCATCTGAAATCACCCCGAGACCCCCGAGACCTCAACCAAAATCACAAACACATCATATACCACTACTCAAACTTGTACCAATCTTCAAAACACCTCAAACAACATTGAATCAACCAAATCACATCGAAATCAAGCCTAAGATTCCAAAATCTTCCGAATTTTGCTTTCGATAAAAAAGTCTACCAAACCACGTTCGAATGACTTGAAACTTTGTACACACGTCCCAAATGACACAACGGACCTACTAAAACTCCCGGAATTCTATTCCGACCACTATATCAAGATCTCACCTATCAACCGGAAAACGTCAAAATTCCAATTTCGCCAATTCAAGCCTAAACCTTCCATGGACCTCCAAAAAATATTCCTATCACGCTCTTAAGTCCCAAATCACTTAATGAAGCTAACCAAATCATAAAAATTCCGATCCGAGATCATATACCAACAAGTCAAATCTTGGTCAAAGCTTTCAAATTTTAAGCTTCAAACTAAGAACTGTTCTTCCAAATTCATTCTGATTACCATGAAAACTAAAACCAACAATTTATGTAAGTCATAATATATCACACGGGGCTAGTCATACCCGAGAACTCGCAAACGAAGTACAAAAGCTCAAAACGACTGTTTGGGTCGTTACAGAATGATCAATCTCCTATATGTGTATGTGAATCCAATGGCCAATGGCAAATACCAAGTAGAACATAACAAGCTCTCACCAGGCGCCAGGGTATGCATCCCAAAGGTTAGTATGAATTCCAAATAACTACACCACAGGATTGAAGCCAACAATATATTCCAATCTTCAATGTTGCTCCAATGTGATCCATTCAAAGCAAGACAGTGTAAAGAGGTTATCATCTGCTCACTCATCAAACATACCATTTACACTACATTATCATCTCCAGAATAAGTGTGTAGACACACTAATACCACTGGAAAATGACAATACAACACACCCTCTAACAAAAAGAAAATCAGATGAAAGAGTGAGTTGTGAGGTAAAAATCTAATATAAGTCAAATGTGCAACTTCATGTGTGTGTGATGGAACCCCAATTGATACCATTGATCTACAGAATTGATCCCTTAGCTTAGGCTGCAAAGAAGAAGTGCAGAAAGTAATGAACCGTAGAGTCGTGTACATGGTTGTGCACAACACAGACCTACTGTTCATTATGCTTTTATCATGCACATTATGTAATGTTCCAAGCTTTGATGCAGCTTCATATATGTGTAATGGGACCTTATTTGGTCTTATAGAATCCCAGAATTGATACCATAACTTATCCTGCAGCTTTAGAGTGTACAGTGCATCGAACAATAGGATCAAGGCAATGGATGTGCAAGGCGCATATAACACTAGAATGTCCCTAGACTGAGCATGATAACATGCTAATACTACTGAGTAACACCGTAATGCCATACAGTACGAAACAACAAGTAACACAAGTGCAGGCAAATCCACTCTAGTCATAATACATGTCATGTGTACAACTATACCTTGTAACCTTAGTGAATCAGCTGCCAAAACCTTTGATGTAATAACCATTCTGACCACTGCTAAACCACCCCCAGATTGAGCTAATACCACTGGAAAGTCATTCAACAATGTCCAGAAACACAAATAGCTAGGTTCAGATAGTACAAAGGATACGTGTTCATCAGTCAGGAGCTTTTCTCTTGGCAACCCTAACTCTAAGGTTAGGTATTTGAGATTTGTCCATGTTGATCAATGTCTTTCCTTCAACTGGCAGTTCATGAAATGAATTAAATGTGATTGTACCTGCAAAAGAGAAAACTAGGTTAGCTAAAAAATCTGCAACATTGTTGCCCTCCCTTAGAACATGCTAAAAGAGTACATTGAATGTACTCTTTATCTCCTTGATTTTCCTTACTTCTGCCCCTATACACCATGGTATTTCCCATTCATCATCTATGATCTTCCTCATCACTAAAGAATCAATCTCTATGATCAAAGGATGAAGCTACTTTTCCACACAAAATGCCAATCCTTCAATAATGGCTTTAGCTTCAACTACAATATTAGTTGCCTCCCCTATCTCTTAGCCTTAGCAAACACCAAATTACCCTCATGATCTCGAATACAAAAGCCATAAGAACTGGGACCTGGGTTGCCTCTTGATGCTCTATCAGTATTACATTTGAACCACCCTTCATAGGGAAACTGCCATATGACTCTTTTAGTAACTACATAAGGCTTGTAGTTCTCAAAAAAGTTGATCATTTGTGGCCACAAAAGAGGAATTCTAGGTTGCCAAGGATACCTAACCCTTGCAAGATAGTATAGTATTTTATTAACTTCATGAATCACTCTACTACAAGACACTGCCCCACCATGCTTCATCGTGTTCCTTCTCTTCCAAAGCTCCCATAAAATGACTGCTGGAACAGCCTAAAACAAAGGCTTTAGCTTGGGACAATACTTTACACTTCACCATGCCCTTATAACTTGATGAACCTGTACCAAATTGATCCCCAAACCTGCATCTTGTATAAATGTCCTCCACACCTTGTTTGCAGTATCACTTGTCAAAAACAAGTGCTGAAATGAGTCTTCATGTGGTGGAGTACAACACCAACATTTATATACTACCATGTATCCCCCTCTCCTCCATAAATCATCACTAGGAACCTTCCCCTTCCAAACTCTCCAAAAAAAAGAAAGAAATTTGAAAGGTAACCCCTTGGTCCATATCTTAGCAAACTCAGGATTGCTTGGTTCTCTATGCCTTAGAATTCTCCATGCAATACTAATAGTAAACTTACCTAAAGGTATAGGCATCTATCTTGGAGTTTCCTAGTAGTCATCAGCAGCTGCAAAGTGTACTTCTTGTCTGATATGATCAGCAATATCTCGAGGGAAGTTTTGATCCAGAAGTTGATCATTCCAGTGTTCATCATCTCTCAAATCGGCTACTTCTTGCGATTCTTCTTTGATGGGGAATTCTGGAGGCAATACATGATACAAATCCCCTAAACCAGTCTAGTTCTCATGCCACACATTAGTAGACCCCCTATTAATTTCCCATAAGATTTCATGCTCAACCTCTTCCCTTGCCTCTAACATTTTTCTCCAAACATGTGACCCCCCCTAAATTGAAGTACAGTTGGTAGTTCTTTCGTACAATACTTGTTCCACATGAAGTTGAACCATAAAGACTTCGTAGTTCTAAATCTCCACCACAACTTAGCAAATAATGCCTTTGAGACATCAATCAAAGATCTAAAACCTACTCCTCCCTCCTCCTTAGGAAGACGTAGATTCTGCCACTTTGTGCAATGCCTACTCCTTCCTTCTTCCTTATTGATCTAGAAAAACCTTGCAAAGGTTTTATATAAGTGCTTTAGAATATTATCAGGTGGATCAAGAACTGAAAGGATGTGTGTAGGCATACTTTGCAACACACTAGAAATCAAAGTAGCCTTTCCCCCATATAATAGTAACTTCCCCTTCCAAGAGTGCAGCTTTGCCTTCACTTTCTGAATCAAGTCATTGTAGAACTCCTTTCTTCTTCTTGTATAAAAAATTGGGCAGCCAAGTAAGTAAAAGGAAAAGTTCCCTTTGAAAAACTAGTGATAGTCCCTACTGCATTTGCCAAAGCTCCAGCTACATTAGAGTGCATGTAATATGAGCTCTTTGCCTTGTTGATCAACAGTCTAGAAGTATGCTCATACTGTGCCAAAATATCCACAATCTTCTGCAAAGAATAAGGATCAACATATGCAAAAATGATAGTGTAATCTACATAAGCAAGGTGATTCAATAGATCAGTCCACTTTGGCATCCCAAATCCTCTAAACTGCTTGTGATCAAACAATTTATTCAATGACCTTGACAAGACTTCAGCTGATAGAATGAACAAGGTTGGGGATAGGGGATCCCCTTGCTTCACCCCCCTATTTGAGTGAAAAAATCCTGAAGCTTGCCCATTAACCATGACTGAGTACCAATTGTTAGCAATCAGATTCCACACCATGTTGATAAAACATTCAGCAAACCCCATCTTCCTTAGCACATGCATCAAGTATTTCCATGACACCCTATCATATGCCTTGGCCATATCTAGCTTGATGACAACATTGACAGGCTTCCCTCTCAACCTTATATCTGTGACAATCTCTTAAGTCAATAAAATGTTCTCAAAGAGGGCAATAGCCTATCATGCACCACCCTTGAGAACACCTTATTTATAAAAATACTTAGACTAATAGGTCTAAGATCAGAGAATATTTGGACTCTAGGTTTTTTGGGCAACAAGACAAGGTTTGTATGTGTAATAGACTTAGGCAAGGGGCTGCCCTCATAGAACAAAATTAGCAGCTTGTGAATGTCCTAACCTACAATGTCCCAACATGCTTGAAAGAACAATCCAGAAAAACCATCTGGACCACTTGTACTCTCACTACTTAATCCAAACACTGCTGTCTTCACCTCCTCTATAGTAGGCAATCTACATAACTCTAGATTCTGCTCCCTTGTCACCATTAAAGGTACATTGTCTAAGAGCTCAAAACTTGTGGGATCAGCCTCCTAAGTGAACTGCTTCTGAAAAAACTCTACTGCAACATTAGATAATATGTCTTGAGATTCAATCCATGCACCATCATAATTCTGGATCCTTTTCAATTGTAGCTTTTGCCTCTTACCATTGACATGGTTATGAAAGAATATAGTGTTTTTGTCCTCTTCCTCAAACCAAGTCATACCTGCTTTTTGTTTCCAGTATTGTTCTTCAACGCTTAAGTACTTCTTCAACTCAGCTTGAGCTTGTTGAAGTACTATTCTATTTGCCACAGAAGGATCTTCTTCAAACAACATCTCCTTGATTCTAACCACATCCTTCCTTATAGCCAACTACTTGAATATATCTCCATAAGTTAATTTTCTCCATTTGAAAAGAGCAATTTTTACCCTCTTTAATTTCTGCTTGAACATCAAGAATGGATACCTTATAAAGTTAGCCATCCAGTTCTACCTCACCACCTCCATAAATGATTCATGTTTTGCCCCAAAGTTCAGAAACTTGAATGGTTTTACAAACTTCATTGCCTCTTCACCACAGCTCATCAAAAGTGGAGTATGATCTGAGCCTGTTCTTATGAGATGCTCCACTTCTATATTAGGAAATAGTGTTTGAAAAGTCATGTTCACACAAATTCTATCCAATCTCTTGAAGATGCGTTCCTCATTTGGCCTTCCATTCCACCAAGTGAAAGGACTACCCTTGTAGCCTAGATCAAACAGGCCACAAAAGTTAACACAAAATGCAAAATTCTCATATTTTGGAGGATATACTGGCAAACCCCCTATCTTTTCCTCCTCACTAATTACAACATTGAAATCCCCCCACCTAGCTAAGGCATCTCCATATCACTAGCCAAATAGTATAGATTGTCCCATAATTCCAATCTTTCTAAAGCACAACACTTAGTATATACAAAGGTCATCATAATATGCTTACCTAATTCTTGATGATACACCTTAATTGTCATCTGTTGTCCAGTATCCATCAATAAGTCTCATTCCACAACTGCATCAAATAACAACCAAATCTTCCCATTCACATTTGAGATTGCAGCTTCCATACCTAGTCTTCTTCTATAATTATGAATGAACCAATTCTTTTGAAATGGTTCCATGAGCGCTACAATGAAGAAGCCATGTTCCCCTTACATATTTATAACCCTTTGAAAAGCATGTTGAGTCTTAAAGACCTTATGTTCCAAATTAATATTTTGATCATCATCTTCTTGTTGTTGAAGCTGCCCTTTTGGGCAAAATTCTAATAGGTGGCAGTGGCTCTTTAGGTTGTACTTTCTTTCCCTTCTTCCCACTTCTAGCTGCTGTTTTAGGAGATAGATCCCCTTCCCTTGCAACTGCTTTAAAATTTTCAGCTATAGACTTATCATCCCCTGCATCTTCAAATTGTTGTTGTTGATCTACCAAAGCATTTTGAATATCAATTGGCAGCTCTTGATGAGTGACAATATCATGTAGCACCTTATTTGGAGTCTTTAATGGCACATTCATTTGGATCGAAAGAGGTGATCCAGTCCCAGATGCACATGCCACAAGCAGTATCTCAAGTTCACCATGCTCCTTGGGTACTATAGCTTGTTCAACTGGTTCATTAGGCATCAATGCTCCTTCATTTAGCTCAGAATTCCTCTCCATATTTCCCAAATTCTCCTGCATAATTCTAAATTGAAGCTCATATACAGAACCCATGTTAGAGTTTACTGTAGCAAGACTGCCAAGAGTTACTGTTCCATTGAGATCAACATCCCTCCCATGGACTGTTTGTTAATCTTGGCACACCGTATCCTCCCTAACCTTCACAGGAACACCCTCATCAAGTCCCTTCTCCAATGCATACACAGGAACCCCATCAACAAAAGCCAAAATCTCCTAGTTTTGCTAGTTTTGATAGGGTTTACTATTTCATTACCCTTCTTATTGCTCAGCGATGTTTGACCTGATCCATTTTGATTTTCATCTTCTTTAGATGCTCCGTTACCACTTCCAATTGATTTTCCTGCCTGCATCATCATAGAACTTGAATTAACATCAACCCTAGTTTTTAGACTACTAGGGTTTACTGTAGCATTCCCAGGATTGCAGTTTTTTGTAGTTGAGTGTTGTCCCTCTTCTCATTGTTTCCCGTTGCCTTTGTTGTACCCTGCTGATCGTCTATAACCTCAACTTCATCACTCCATAGTGCCTTAGCAGAATTTACCTCATTAAATTCATCCAGCTGCCCAGAATCATCATGAGTTTGAGATGGAATTTCTTGATATGAATGGTTGGTTGTGACATTGAGCTGCCTGAGCTCCTCCTTGTTTGTTCCAAACCTTCTATGAACCCACTCAATTGTGGATTCTTTTCTAGCTTCCTCAGCTGTTCTTTCCTTAGCAGGAAAATTTCCATCGTTAGCTACTTCTTGAGCATCCTTTGCAGGTACCACTTGAATCCTAGTAGGAGTAGGATTCCCATTCTTTTCCTTCTTAATCACATTCTCAACAACCTCTTGCTTGACACGCTTAAGCTCATGAAGATTTTGAATGCCTTCTCCTTTGGGACTTGGTATAACTTCCTGTGTAGCAGCCCTAATCCTATTGACATTAGGTTTAGGGCTGGAATTTCCAGAATTTTCCAAATTCTCCTTCACCTGCCCTCTTTTGGATTGATAGTTACCTTATTCGTGCCTTTCATGCTTTCCATTCTTTTCACCTTTGTTGGACTCCTTGGATACTGAATCCTTCACATTATTCTTGACATTATCATCAACCTTGCCATCCATAATTGTCAAAATTGGTTGAGCATTTTCCTCCACTTCTAATGCATTAAATTTGTTCTTTGTAGCCACTGCCTCAACCTTGGCCTTGCCCTTGCCATTTGTTGTCTCCTTCTCCTTTGTGTTATCAATTATATAGCCTCTCCTATCTCATTAGTACTTGTTCTTTCTAGCTTGCATCCACTCCTGTTTAGTTGGGTTAGTTATAGATTTCCTTACAACATTTCCACTCGATAAAACCTTGGTAGAGGCAGTAGTTGTGCCCGCTATTTCTTGCCCATTCTTCTTGTCATTATCCTGATCTTCAAACTGCCTTAAATATGGATTAATAACCCAACATTCCTCTTCTTTGTGGCCTTGTTTCTTGCATGATTTATAATACTTTGGCATGTAATCATACCTAATCATGATCCACTTAGACTCCTCAGGCCCAGTTTCATCTTCCTCCTCCACTATTTTTATTCTTTGAGGTAAATTAATTAGCAAGTTGACCTCAACCTTCACCTTAGCACAACTTGGACGAGTGCCATTTTGAGTAGCCAAGTCCAGATGCAATAGCCTTCCCACTGCCCTAGCTAATGAGAAAACAAACTCTTTACCAAAAAGGTTTGGAGGTAAATCTTGAACCTAAATCCAAGATATAGCTATAGGAGTTTCTTCATTAGCTTTCCATCATGGATTCCACTTGGTACACCTCATCTGCCACATCTCGTTTTGAATCTTCAAATAATAAGCAGGTTAGGACAAGAGATGAATGTAATCCTCCATCAATGAGAGCTTGATCAATACATGACTATCTTCAATAAGTCCAACTGAACAAGAACCCTTTAATTCACATTGAATAGGCAAAACTTTATGTAGGTCATGAATCCCAGGCTTACCATATGAGAATTTTCCCAAGACTGCCAAGTTCAATTCCTGCTGAGCAATGGACTGCCTTACCTCTTACTTCTTCCATCGAACAATTGACTCACCATGAAGATACTTGATAGGTTTTAGGGCTACTTTAGGAACATGCTGCATTGGGGCATTTAATACACTAGGTTTTAGCAATTGTGCATAGTTTGGGATTGTGTTTGGGATAGTTGATGGTTGGGGAGATGATATAGGTGGAGAAGACGACTGACCAGCCTCCATAAAAGGCTGGCCAGTGGCCGGTGGGAAGGCTTTCTCTCTCTAATCGCCTGAAATCGCCAGAGTCTCTCTCTCTAGATGCGGGGTTTTGGGTTTTTTGTTTTTTTATTGTTTTGGACATCATTGTGATGGTTTTATTGTGTTACATTGTAATCCTTCTACGTATAACTATTCTGTTGACCGTTGTATTATCGCATGTTATTCTAGTAATAATGATGTTGATGTTATTTCATGGCATGCAAGATTAGGTCACATAGGGCAAGATCGAATGAATAGATCAGCTAAGGAAGGACATTTAGGTTATTTCTCTAAAATTAAAATGCTAACTTGTGAAAATTTTCTTGCGTGAAAGATTACGCATAAACCATTTGGAAAGGCTAAGAGAGCTGATTTTCCATTACAATTAATTCATTATGATTTCTATGGTCCAATAAATGTGAGGGCTAGGTTTGGTGCTTTATTTTTCATTACGTTCATTGACGATTTCACGCGCTTTGGTTATGTCTATTTGATTTCTCATAAATCTGAAGCACTTGAATGCTTTAAGAAATATTTGAATGAAGTTGAGAATCAATTAGACAAAAAGATTAAGACTTTAAGAACCGATATAGGGCGTGAATATCTATTAAACGAATTTGAAGAATTGTGTAATGAAAAGGGCATCATTAGACATATAACTATTCCTTACACACCTTAACAAAATAGTGTATCAGAAAGGAGGAATATAACACTACTAGACATGATAAGGTCCATGATGACGCAGACAAATTTACCTATTTCCTTCTGGGGAGATGCGTTATTGACTGCAACCTACATATTGAACAAAATGCCTTCTAAATCAGTTTCTTCCACTCCCTATGAGCTATGGACTGGTCATAAATCAAATTTGAATGATTTACGACATTGGGGTTGTACTGCATATGTAAAAAATTCTTTTAGCAAGTTTGGTAAATTAGGTCCAAAAGGCAAGAAATATATCTTTATAAGATATTCAAAACACTCCAAAGGTTATGTGTTTATTGGTGAATTAGATGATGGAAGTGTTACTGAGATTGAATTGTGAGATGTCACATTTTTGGAAAATAATTTTCCAAATAAAGGTGAGGTAAAGAATGGAGAGCCTTTGTATGAAATGTTGAATTCAGATAGTCAGCAAGTGTCTTCTGATATAATTGATAATCAACTTGATCTAGATCTTATTCTTGATCCGAGTGGGAGTGGGAACTCTCAATCCCAAAATCCTTTTGACGAACCTGAATTTCAACTACGAAAGAATGCTAAGAAAAATATATCCAAATGTACTTATGAGATTGAAGATTACATTTCATTAGTATCTCCCACAGAAATGGATGAGCCAAAGTCTTTAACGGAGGCTTTATCGAGTCCTAAAAAAGATCAGTGAATGAAAGCAATGAACTATGAAAACAAACAAAGTCTGGGATCTAGGTGACCTTGCATAGAGCCATTGGGAACAAATGGGTTCTCAAAGTTAAACACAAAGTGGATGGGTCAATAGAAAAATACAAGACACAATTGGTGGGAAAAGGCTTTACTCAAGAAGCTGAAATAGATTATGAGGAAACATTTTCACCAGTATTGAAGTTTACCTCAATTCGCTTACTTTGGGATATTGTTGCACATTTGGATTTGGAATTACATCAAATGGACGCGAAGATAGATTTTCTCAATAGAGAACTAAACGAAGAAATCTACATGGAACAACCTGTAGGCTTCATCGTTAAAGACCAATAAAAGAACGCCTGTAATTGAAAAGATCTATTTATGGCCTGAAGCAATCTTCAAGGCAATAGTATTTGAGATTTCACAATGAGGTAATCTCGTATGATTTCACCATGATCAATGAAGACCTTTGAATTTATGTGAAGAAATCCAATGGGATGTTTGTAATTCTTTCTCTTTATGTGGACGATATTTTATTGGTCGGAAATAATTTGGAGTATTTGAAAACTATCAAGCCATGGCTTTCAAAGTCATTTAAAATGAAATATATGGGTGAGGTAGACTATATCCTTGGGGTTAAGATCCAAAGAGACCGTTCCAAAAAGTTATTGAGTCTATCTC